CGGTTTAGGCCGGGATTGGGCCTAAACCGGCAGTCAGACATCCCCCGAGGGGTCCCAGATTGGAAAGGGTGCAGGCTGGGCTGAGGGGAACCGCCCCCCCCAGCACGAATTTTGTGCACCGGGCCTCTAGTTTTATAATAAGGGGGTCAATTTCAGGAAACTATAAGTCCTAAGTATATAAGAACCTAATTCCAGAGCCCCAAAATAGATGAAGCAAACACTAACAGAAATGAAGAGAAAAACAGACAATTCAACAATTCAATGATCTACTTTCAATAATGTATAGATCAACTAGTCAGAAGATCAACAAAGAGATGGAAAACAACATACTCTTAAATAACTAATGGGTCTAAGAAGAAATTGCAAGAGAATTTGGAAAATACTTTTGAGTTGGATGAAAGGAAAACTGAACATACCAAAACATATGGAATACAATTAAAACAGATCTTAAAGGGAAATTAACAGCTTAAAATTTCTATATTAAAAAACACACACACACAAGATCTCAAATCAATAAACTAATTATACACCTTAAGGAACTAGATAAATGAGAGCAAACTAAATCCAGATACTAGAAGAAAGGAAATAATAAAGATTAGAGGGAAGATGAACAAAATAAAGAAAAATAGAGAAAATCAATGTAATTGTAAGTTGATTCTTTGAATAGATCATCAAAACTGACAAACCTTTAGCTAGCTTGACCAAGAAAAAAAGAGAGAAGACTCATATTAATATCAGGAATAGAAGAGGAGATATCACTACCAACCTTACAGAAATAAAAAGGATTATAAGTTGATTAGTGGTTGCATAGGTCTGTGTGTGGACAGTGACTACTAACAGGTATAGGGTTTAATTTGGGGTGATGAAAATGTTCTAGTTAGATTGTTGTGCCAATTGCAAAACTCTGTGAATATACTGAAAATTGATGAATGTACTTTAAACAAGTGAATTTTACAGTATCCCAATAGCATTATATCCCAATAGAACTGTTTTTAAAAAGCCAGGATGGACCACCTGGTGTGGCTCAATGGTTGAACATGAACCCATGAACCAGGAGGTCACAGTTCAATTCCCAGTCAGGGCACATGACTGGCTTGCAGGCTCAATCCCCAGTGGAGGGTGAGCAGGAGGCAGCTGATTAATGATTCTCTCTTATCTCCCCTCTCTCTTCCTCTGTCTAAAATCAATAAAAACATAATAAAATTTTAAAAAGTCAGGCTAGTCCTGGCTGATGTGGCTCAGTTGGTTCGAGTGTCATCCTGGACACTGAAAGGTTGCAGGTTCAATTCCTGGTCAGGGCCATTACCCAGGTTGCAGGTTCGATTTCTGGTCTGGGTGTATAGGGGAGGCAAAGTTTCTCTCTCACATTGACGTTTCTGTCTCTCTCCCTCTCCCTTTCCTTTCTCTCTAAAATTAATTTTTAAAAAAATCCTCAGGTGATGATTAAAAAACATAATAAAATAAAATAAGTCAGGATAAAACTGGACCCAAAGTATAGGGAAAATGATTGTCTCCTGGGAAGGAGGAAGGCACTTCCTTCATGAAATCAGAGGGAAATATGAGAAAGGATAGCAAGAGAGTATTAAGTGAAGTAAAAATTAGAGGCCTGATTTTGATACATCCTTACTTTGTGTTCCAGATCTCAAGCCTTTTCAGGGAGCTTTCCTCCCAACATCACAGAAGTGCTGCCTTCTCACAGTCCCACCTGCCATGGCCTTCTCCATACGAGTCACCATCACTCACCTGGGCACCATTCTTTTGCCTCCTTCCTTTTAACAATCCAGGGCTCTTTCCCCTGTTCCAATAAGGAGATCACATCTGGCATAGAATAACAAAGTCCTGCTCAAGTTAAAAAAACAACAAAGGTTGTTGTGGGTGTTCCAGAATTAAAATCAATCCATGATTATCAAGAAAGAAGAGTAAGTAGTTTAAGGGAGAAGGTCAGAGAAATTAAAAAGATAAAGTTGTAAAATGGAGCAGCCAAGTTTTAACTTCACAAGAAACAACTATTCTTTGGTAAGCAAGAATCATTAATTCAGCCAGGCACTTGAAAAAGTACTCACAAGAAATTGATAACAAAGAACATAAAAATTCCAGAAGGTCAATTCTGAATTTTGAGAGGCAGATAAACTTACCCAGTGAGATCAGGTTGTTATAATTTTCCAACATTATATCTCGGTACAAATCCTTTTGGGTAGAGTGCAAGCATTCCCACTCCTTTTGAGAGAAGAAAATGGCCACATCTTCGAACTTCAAGCCCTGAAACCAGAGATAAATATACTATTTGGGAAATTAATGGACAAAATCTTTATAATAGAATAAAAGAAAATGGAGAAAGCAATTCAGTAAGGAAATTGCTTGGGAAAATAGGCTATTCTTGACCCTTCAGCATGGATGGGTCAGTGTGGGAACAAGAGTGATCAGAGCACACATTATTCTTGGTGCATATATCATTCTTAAACATGCCTGCAACTGATCCGAGCAAGATGGCGGCATAGGTAAACACCGGAGACTGCTGCCGCAAACAACCACTTCAAAAATACAACTAAAAGACAGAACGGACATCACCCAGAACCACAGGAAGGCTGGCTGAGGAGAGACTCTTCAACTAGAAGGAAAAATAACAGCACACCGAGGCTCAGAGGAGGCGCAGTGTGGAAAAAACTCAGGTGCGGAGGTGCGCGCGCAAAGCGGGCTGGTGGCTGAGAGCGCGGTTGTCGTTTTCGGTCAGGGGGGAGTCTCAGACTCTGAGCTCCAGATACGGGCGAATCGCTGGGGACTCGGACCCAAACGGGAGAAGCGGGAGTGTCTGGCATCAGTTGGAAGGCAGCTTTCCCTCCGAGGTTTGCAGCGGTTCCGGGGGTTCTGAGAAGCAGAGCCTCTGGGAACAGGACTGAGGGCACCATAACGGCTCCCTCCGCCCGCCCTGCCCTGTTGATCCCGCCCCGCCCAAGCCCTGC